TTACAAAAGACACGTCAAATGGATTTCCCGTGAGTACATGCAGGATAAATAGGTGGACAGAAGGATCCTTCCAAACTTTTGCTAGACATACTTTTGGTTAAGAAAATATTATGCCCAATCTGTGAAAAATAGAACTGGAGAAATGTTGGCAAGGTAGCAAGAGTGTTGAGGTCAATGGTGTACCTGGGGGTACTTGCCCAGAATGTTTCAAAGAATCTGACCTATAGAAATAATCCAAATAATTTTTTTTACAAGCTCTCATCTATAGTCAGGTGCACAGCTATTACAATTTCTACAAACCAACAGCTAAGTTAACAGGGCAAGATGCTACTGGAAAAGCACAACATTACTCAATGTTCCTTCCTTTTGTTCTCTTTCACAAGCCTTGCTCCCAAAGGTCCTTGGTGGGGCACAGTAGGAAGCACAAATCTATTGCACTTCAGCTCACGTGTTTATGCAAGCTACATTCTAGAGCAAGTAATGGCAAGTGCTAGGCGTAGTCCTATAATTTAAGCAGCAGTAAATCTCAAGCCCCTTGAAAGAATACATGCAGACATGGAATTATACACGGTCCTCAGTAGCTAACAAGGGGATTAGCTAAATGCTTCGCTCTTAAACCTGATTCTTCCTATCAAGCATGAGTAGTTGGGTGGTGGCACAGGAGCACTCATTAATGCAGGATCACGTTCTGCTTATCACTTTATATTTTGTGTTTCACATTTGTGCCATACACAATTATACCCTTAATCTTCACCAGATGGCATTTATATTATCACAGTTTCAATGGGCAGCATACACAGAACTATGATTAATTCTGTCAAGATTTGCTAAAGAAAAACCGATCTCCAGACTCTCTCCTCCCACTCCACCCAATATTCAAACCCTTCTTATCCTTTTCCACTTGACTTTATTTAAACACGGAATAAACAACATTCTTAAAATGTTCAGAAAACAAGTGGGTCAGACGTCCTATTAAAAATCATACTGCAGCAATGTACTGTAAAACTTTGTACATGAGCAAGGAGCATAAAGGTGGGAGGAAGCGATTTCAGTGACATCATTAATCTTAATTCTACAATCTCAAAGAAGCTTTTGGAGAAGTTGTGTAGGTCTTGAGGCCCACGTACGGGAAAGACCAGAATGGCTCCTCTCTATTATATTGTTTTTCCCTTCCCCTGCAAGGAAAAAAAGGGGGTAATTTCAAATTGTCCTGGTGGGCATCAGCATCACAAGATTTCTCTTCTGCAGCTGCCCGTTCTTCTTTCAGGCAAGTTTTGGGTTAGACAGGGATTCTTATTGTCAAAAAGCCTCAGGGGAGCTAGGGCTCAGTTTGAAGGCAAAGGACTTGTGAATCTTTAGGTTTTTGCTTGTTTATGAGGGTGGCATTCCAAGCTAGTTGCATGAGGGGGAGCAAACCCCACACACTTCGTGAAATTATACATGCTATGGTAATCAGTCCGAAAATTTTCCATGCCCCTGTGTGGGAATAACCCTATCAGGGATACGTACTGGCCCAGAATTATTGAATCAAGATCTTCTCTCAAGCTCTTCCACATTTTCCCCAAAACACTTGTCTTCCTGCTTCTTCATCTAATATAAACCATTTTTTGAACAATGGCCAATATCTAATATGTGAACTATTGCTCCTGTTAGTCTGATATGTAATTAAAAGAATCAAAGAAAGAAACCTTAAGTCTCATTTCTATTATAGTATGCCATAATAAACTAGTTTGTAAAGTAAATTTGCTTTGAAATGACTACCAGTCAGGCCAGAAACATAATGAATAATCTTTGGGACCACTATCATAAATGTTTCCTCTCATCACCAGGAAGTGACCAATGATCTTCTAACAAAACCCCAGGATTTCCCAAAATTACTTCTGCAAGCAATAGTAAAAATTAAGAGGTGTCCTCCCCAGAGCAAAGCCACAGACCTATTTTTGTAACGTGCATTTGAAGCCCTATCCTTATAAAATGAAATATTTTCATTCTCTTGTGTAAACTTGTACAGATTGCATGCTATTGATCTTCTGAGTCATGTTTCTGGCAGTAAATTAGTAACCTAGTAGAAAATATAAGTTCTATAGAACAAATGATGTAATGTATTAGTACTTTAAGCCTGCATTTAACTCTTTCAACATACTAGCAAGAGGGAAATGTCTGTACGAATAGGAACATTCAAAGACCGTGAAAACAAGGAAACAAAATATTTAGAGTAAAATTTAAAAGATCACATTTTAATGGGAAGGATTTGGATTAAACTTACTTTAAAAAAATACTTTAAGATTGTGAGCTACATAACACACTCTTACTGCATTTTTTAAAATCGAAAACAGTTCTTTCAATTTAAATGCTATAACAGACAGAACAGGACTAATCAAGCTGCTGAATTTCTAATTGCTTTCTTGTTATCTTGACTCCACAGTAGAGCATCTGCATAAGCCATAAAGAAAACAGCCTTCCCAAAAGTCTTACAATGCTTCATAGGATCACCTCTATTCTATCTGTGCTTACAGAAAGCCAATTGACTAAAAGCTAATGGAATATAGCTGGGGTGGCCAATCTTACCGACCCTCCGAGCAGCATACGACAACCTTTAGAAGTTTGAAAACCAGGGTGCGCCTTCCGGGGCTCAGGACTTAAGCCCCGAGCCCTGGCAAGCATCTTTCATGGGGCTAAAGCCCTGAGACATCCTTTCCTCTGCTGGGCAGATGCTAGAGCTGACACATGCAGTTATGGAGGATCACGTCCCACACCAGATTTTTTGCCGGGGTTTACTGGACCCCTTCAGACACATAGTGCTCCTAGGCCCTTCCCTATTAGGCAGTTGCTGGAGTTGGCAAGCTGGAAGCTAGGGCCCTAAAAGAGAGGTATCAGCAAACAGCTGAGGGCTGCAGAGAGACCCTGCTTTTGCTGCTGCCTCTCCCTGTGGAGCTAAAGTAGTGGCCTCTTCCTGCAGCTCCCCCTTCCCACACAGCTAATACCTGGAACCTGCAGGGATGGGCCACTGAAGGTAAAAGGAAGGGTGCGTTTGGGGCATAAGTAGAGCTGTTGGGAAGAGGAAGTGAACCTTTAATTGGGCCCCATTCTCAGCAGGCATCAGTGGGTTTCTGGCAGAAGGACTCTAGCCACACACATCTCACGGAAGAAGCCCTGAAACTGCCCCTCCCCCCACGTTGGTAGACAGAGAATGGGAGGGTTCTGTGAGCCACATTTTAACGGTAAAAGAGCTACACGTTCCAGTTTGGCCACCCGTGGAATACGGGTTAAAGAAAATTACACACATACATAGATGGCTGCACTCTGGATAGTGTATGTATACAAACTGTATGTGCATTTCAGGCCAAATACTGCACAACCCAGAACAGATGCTCACCAATAATACAGGTTCAGGGGTCCCTCTCATAGGAAGAGCATTCCACCTTCCTTACCACAAATTCATCCAGATAGTTTCAGGAAAATCAGAAATAGTCCGCAGGGGAAATATGTATGTACAAAAGCCAAATGGCAAGGTAGGGCTTGGAGTTTCTGGTGCCAGCAAAGATCAGCATAAAAATCTCCTGCCCTTTACTGGCAACAATGAACAACATGCTCCCAGAATGTGACAGACTCTATAGTGTTAACCAGAGAATACCATCAAGCCATCTAACAGGCAAAAGCACAGAAAAGAAGCATGCCTGCATCTTCTGAGCATTAGAGGACTTAGCCACACAACTTGCACTGATTTTTGTGGAGTGTTATGGCTAAATTCCAAGTAAGTCTTTTCCAATAATTATTTGATTGCAGGATGAAGTTCTTTAGCCTGTGTTATGCAGGAGGCCAGAGTAGATGAACATAAAGATCTTGCCTAGCCCTAAAATCTATGGATATTCAGATGGCATAATTTAAAGATCAGGAGATCTCATTTCCCAGCATGTGTTGCATTACTTCTTTATTTGCTGTCCTTTATAAATGTACAAAACTCAAATGAATACACAGTATGTACAGACTGCAGAAAATGTGCTCTCAATTGCCTTAGATGCCAACAGCTACATACTGTCTAAGTGACACATGGTTTTGACCAAGGAGATAGCAGTATCAGTGTTTCCATAACTCTTTGTGAAGAATTGAGGATTTAAAATGCCTCTTTCCAACATTACCTCATGTCTGGGCCTCTTGCTGATTAATTAAAACTATATAGATACAGAAAAAACAAACATCAGCACTGCAACACTATGTACCAATGTACAGTATCCTTGGCAAAAAGAAATGGCCTGCTGTTCTCAACCAACTCAATTTCCATAATTGTGAACTGTGATCAGACAAGATCTCTTTTCTAAAAAACATTCCAGCAACTGGCAAATGTGTCCAATACACAGGAAATTATATTTATAGTTGCATTACTCTCCACAATGTACCAATTCTCCTCTCACTAGAAGGACCAGTGGCTATTTCTAAATGAATGGTTTTGTCCCTATAAATCTATCATCACAACATACAATCGTTAATTCTAGAGTCCATACTGGTGGGGGGAGGGGAAATATTGCAGAAAGAACCCTTCCACTGCTAAAGAATCCATAAAATAATGACCTATAAGACTTCTCTACTCGAAAGAGCAAGAGTTTGAAATCTTACTTTTGCAATTCTTTGTCTCTTCATTAAATCTGTCTCATGTTAAACATGTGCTTAAGTTTATGCAGAAGAGAAATCCTATACTATCCATGTCCCTAAGTATCTCCAGGAAATAAGGCCTAAACAAGTTGCAGACTCACCTGTACCTGCTAATTATAAACTTCTTTAATATCCTTATATTTTTAACACTGAAAACTGGTAAAAAAACAACAAAAGCATTTGATGTGAAACTTACAAATGCCCTTACAACAAGCATTTAAGAACATGTATAATTACTTGGCAGTCATCGTGTCCTTCATGTTTTTTGCTACGGTTCAGAGAACCATGCAAGTCCGACTTTGAAAAGCAGAAAGCACGAAGCTTTTAATAAAGATCAATGAATACTTTACCACATGAGAAACTCCACCAAAGGCACAAGCATGTTGCAAGAAGTGTTCTTACCTAAAATTAAGAAAAGTAAGAATGATCACTCCTTCTTCCTATATCACACTTTAAAAACACAGTAATTCCAATATAGGGAATGGTGGATATCATAATAACCATGGAACAGCCCAAAGAAAACAAGAACATGAAATTGCCATTCCTTTGATCAAGAAATTAACATTAAGAGGGAGACCACTAATATATACAAACAAGCAATAAAAGAAATTTTGCATTAGTACAGTGAAAGCCAAAGGACTAGGGTGGTGGTGTTTTTTTAAGTTACTTAATAGAGCTGGGGGTTCAACTAAAATGCTAACAAAACTGTACTGAGACCCACATGTGGAGACTTTCAGATGGTCACTTAAGAGAGAGCTTGCCTGCTGGCAATGAAGGTCCTTCATTGAGAAATCTGAACAGGACTGTTGCTATATTTTTACATTAAAATCTCCATGTGCAATGATGTTTTAGAGACGCTTTATTTGTTCAGTAAGTATATGGCAAGTCTCCAAAAAGAGTCATATTTTTTGGAGTTTAATGCACCCACATTACACACATCATATATTACTTGAAAGCTTATTTTTATGTCCATTTAGATGAGGCATGATGTAGAGCTAGCAAGTGGTGCTGCATGCCTGTAGGAGAGATGAAACAATGGTACCCCAAATGAAAAAAAGTGTCCCCTTTTTTAAAATAATTCTAGCCATGTTGCAGTATGACTATGTCTACAGATTTTACTATTTAAGTTAATTTTATTTCTTTAATGTGATGTTTATTGGTCAAAGCCACCAAAAGAGAATGTATTAAAATATTTCTATTGGTTTTGCATGAGCAAGATTTATTTTCTCCCAGAAATGACAGCACTATTTAGCATGTGGCAAAAATGGTGAATATCAACATTTTGTGATAAGCTAACATGAAAAGTTTTCACATCACATATTCTTAATTCTTAAAGAATCTCACAAGTTTTCTCTATTTTTTTACTGAAATTTGATGACCAGTCAGTCTCACTGAAGACTCGGCACCAACAGGAGTATATTCCATGCCCTCAGTTTGTACTGCCTAGTGGGTAGATTGTACTGCCTAGTGGGTAGATATAAACGTATGTGAATACCTAATGTAATGCTATTCGATTTATGAGCTTTTGTACATACAGTGCTGCACCTAGTATGTCTAGTAGAACGGTATTTCTGAAAGCGTTCCGCAGAATCACTTTGAGAAACAAATTAATTGGCTGCCCCGGTTTGTTTATTTACCAGAGCCTTGGCCACAGAGCCTCGTGGCTCCTATTGGCTCCGTTTCACTCTTTGCAGCCCAGGGGAGCCGTGGGAAACAGTGGCCCAGCCCACACCGCTTCCCATGGCTCCCCTTGGCTGCAAAGGAGCCTTGTTACTTGGGGTGCTTCTTACTATGCTGATACAAATCCAAGCCCTGACACCAGTAGCTACCCTATGGCTGCGTCTAAACTGGCACGTTTTTCCACAAAAGCGCTGCTTTTGTGCAAAAACTTGCCAGCTGTCTACAGCGGCCACTTGATTTTGTACAAAAGCACTGACGTTCTACTGTCCATAATCAGTGCTTCTTGCGCAAATGCTTTGATGTTCCCGTTCGGGCAAAAGCCCTTTTCCAGAAATGTTGTTGCACAAGAGCGCCAGTGTAGACAGCTAAAAACTGTTTTGTGCAAAAAAGCCCCAATGGTGAAAATGGCGATCGGGGCTTTCTTGCGCAAAACCGCATCTAGATTGGCATAGACGCTTTTCCGCAAAGAGTGCTTTTGCGGAAAAGCATCCGTGCCAATCTAGACATTCTTTTCCGCAAATGCTTTTAACGCTACTGGGGTAGCCTATAAGTATACAGAAGAGGTTTCATAGTGTCTTCCATCAGCCTACTTACTCTTTGCAGGGTGGCCCAAGAAGCCATTCCAGTCCCATGTCTCTACAGATCCATTTATCCCTAGTTCTTAATTACCAAACACTCAGACTTTTCCCCATGTGGGTTCATCACCCTCAACGGAATGAAACTTGCCCCCAGTTATCAGTTCTTTCTTTCTCTCTCTCTCTCTCTCACACACACACACACACACACACACACACAATGTGCACAACAAGGAACTAATCGGGATAAAAATAAACAAAGGGTGTTTTTGATAGAAAAATGACAGATTCAAATATGAGAGTCAGCGGAAAGCAAACAGAGACAAGTCACACAGAAAATAAACAAAGACAGAACCTCATGTTTTAAATTACTATATTAGCGAAATATCTTTTTCTAATACATTACCTATTTCCTCTGAACAGTTTCTAATGTAGTTCTATCACAAAAAGGAATATCGGTACAGACAGCGCTCCACCTAGATGTCCTTCATTTCAAACCCCTTGTCTTTTAAGGATCTGCAGGTTTTCCTTTCTTTCTCTCAGACTGTGGTTGTGTTGCTCAGGGGTGTGCATACGCCAGTCCCACTGTGTGATGTAAGTTACACTCACCGAACCACTGATATGGACAGGGCTATATCAACAGGAGAGCTTCTCTCACCAATACAGCTATTGCCACTCACAGGGGCTGAAGTACTTAAGCTGATGAAAAAGTTCTCTCATTGGCTTAGCATCTGCACTAGCCGTGTAAGCTCTTTAGCGTAGCCATAATCTAAGAACATGTCTACACAAGTGACCTTACAGCAGCACAGCTGTACCGATGCAGCTGCATCACTGTAAGATCACTCATGCAGCTGCACTAAATTGGCAGATTCTCTTGTTAACAGCATAAAACCACCTAAACAAGTGGTAGCAGCTGTGTCATATGAGCACTCCCATCAGCAAAACTTACGTGACTTTGGGTGAATTTTTCACACCCTTGAGTGACATATGTTTTGCTGACATGAGTGATAGAGTAGACATGGCCCATGGGGTTTTCTTTTCAGTTTCATATTATATCAATGTTTTCCCCTTAACTCTAACGGTCCACCATTGTCTACTCCTGGCTGGCCAATGGAGTGGTGCATAAAGTTAGCTTCATGTAAATAGCTGGCTTTGGAGAAGACCCTTGCTACTATGAGTTGTACCTGAAATTGTAAAACCAGTCATGAGCATGCGGCTAGTCTATAAACGTAAAGACACATATTTACAACCACAGTCTGTCACATAGCTTATAATGACCAGCCAATTGAAAACATTACAAGCATTCACAAAACACTCTCTTTGGCATATTCTTATACACAACAACAATGTACACAGCCAGCTGATTCAATTTCTCATTCTTTGTGTTTCTCCAATTGGGGTGTCTGGACGTTGATTGTGACAGTCACTTCATACTTCTGCATGTCATTTGTGATGCACTCACTCCTGACTTCTGCAACATACTCCTTCCTTTACACGCATTAACAGGATATGACTTTGTCACTTCCCTATTTTATATTGGGGGGGGGGACTGTTGCCAAATTGGGGGAGAGTGACTGACAAGCTGCAATTTCTGCAGCAGGAAAGTTGATAATTGTTCTGTATGACCACCGTAGGAAACAAAAAGGACACTTGAATTGCTTGCACCTCCATCTCACCTTCAAAAAGGACAAATCACTAGCTCAACTAACACCTGTGAAGGCTGCTTTGAAGAAGATGTCTAAAGAGCATCTTTGCAAATGAGATCTGGATTCTTTCACACTTAGGTGAAATGGTGGATCAAATGTTGGATTAACCCAGCAACACGGATGGAAAAAAGTGGATGGTGAACTACTGCCTGTGTATCAAGAGCCCAGTCCCTGCAAAGAACTGTGTACATGTTAATGCAATGAAGATGATGGCAACGCACTGAGATCATAACGCTAAATAAGGTGGCAATGGTGATGTTGACTAGTCATGGCACCTGCAAGCCTACATTTCAATGATACCTGTACACACGGACTACTAGATTTTATTTTATCCTTTAGATTATTGGGATGCCTTGAAGCCACACAGAAATCCAATGTTGTGTCTTGAAATAAAGTACAGAGTCATTAAACTAACAGGAACAATACAGTTTGGACGTCCCTGGTCTGGCACCCTCAGGACCTGACCCGTCCTGAATGAGGGAATTTGCTGGATAAGGGGATGTGCCCTTCCACCGGCCTCCCAGAACACTGCCCCTCCACCCCTCCAGCTGGCTCCACTCCAGTCCCACTGCCACTTGGCTCCAGCCCTACTGCTACAGGGCTTGGGCTGGGCTCTGGCCCTCTGCTGCCAGCCAACTGGGACTCTCTGGGAACAGAGTTCTCCAGCCACTGTGATTGTGCTTCTGTCCTACCTGGCCAGGGCTTCCCAGGTCTCTCTGGAACTCCATGGCTGCCCCACTGCTGCCGCGCCAGGATGGAGTTCCACGGCTGCCTCCCCAAGAATGGGGCTCACCTTTACCGATAGTGGGGCTCCCTGCCACTGGACTCCTGACCGGCTTGCGCTCCTGAGCACCAGGGCTCTCTGAGGGTACGTCTAGATTACGTGCCTCTGGCGACAGAGGCGTGTAAATTAGACTACACAGCATAGGAAAATGAAGCAGCCATTTAAATAATCGCCGCTTCATTTAAATTTAAAAGGCTGCCGTGCTGAGCCGATCCCAGGGCATACCTGGGAGGTCAACAAATGCCTTTGATGTCGACCGCGGAGCGTCCAGACTACCCCGCTGAGCCAACAAACAGCTGATCGGCTCAGCGCGGCAGCCATTTAAATATAAATGAAGTGGCGATTATTTAAATGGCTGCTTCATATTCCTATGCCGGGTAGTCTAATGTACACACCTCTGTCGCCAGAGGCATGTAGTCTAGACGTACCCTCAGACCATGGATGCCGCCAGACTAGAGAGTCCTGGATTTAGGAGGTTCAACCTGTATTTCAAAGTGCACTGTTTGCCCTCATTTCAAGGTGTAACGTGTGGATCGTGTCACTGTTTGCCCTCATTTCTATGGCAACAGCACCACTTGATAGCTCCAAATCATGTCTCATCTTAAAGTAGACATGTAAGCTTTCAAATGAGAGCACATTAAGTTAATCATATTGGTG